TTTTTTTTTTTTTTTCTTTTTTTTGGTGTCACCGGTATAGCTACACAATAGCCAAGTTCCTCATTGTGTGAAATCTTACAGCTACACCAGGTGGGAGTGAGCAACGGCGTGTTAAGGACTTTAACAGGTATTAAAGTCGTGAGAGAGAAGGCTGTTCCTGAAAACTCTGCTTTCCCGCAGGTGTAGCCCATCTTTCACTGGTTTATAAATGCCTCTATAACTCGAAATTTCTCTCTCGCTTGCTATGCTGGCCCTTGATTTTTGTACATCTTTTGGAATATCTGTCTGAGTTTCTTAGAGCTGTGCTCAAGTATCTGGCTATGCTGTATTATCTGGCAAATTCATTATTCATTGGGCTTGTTGCTGATGGATTCTTGTTTCTTGATTTTACACACAAGAACTTGGTCTGTCTTCGTGTTTGGTAGCTGCAGAATTGTGTGAGAAGTTGTTTCAGTACAGCGTGTTTAAAATGTAAAGGCAGGCTGCTGGTTGTGTGCATATGCATTGTGTGCACAAGTTTGCTGGGAATTTGTTAATTTTTTTCCCTCCATCTAATTAATTTATTTATTTTTCAGCCCCCCTTTTTAAAGCTGTGTAATAACATAGAAAATGCTTTACAATTGATTCTCTCTTGTATTTTTTGCATGTTGTGAAAATCTTTATAAAGTTGGGCTTTGGTTACCTTCTTGTCAGAAGACACTTCCAAGACGCATCAGCTGGTTTTGCAGACGTTGGCAAGAACCTCTGGTGATGTGTGTTACAGAGGTATTTAATGCAAAATAATGTTTCCGCTTAAATACGACGTCAGCTTCGGTTCCAGGCAGGTGTACAATTCAGTTGTATTGTGGAAGTATTGACTGATTGAGGGAAGAGGAAGCAGGTCAAAAGCTGTTTACTAGGGAAAGCAGCAACACGACCCTTTTTTTGCCCCTCTCTCACCTTGGAAATATATTTGTATGGAGTAGGTGCAGTATGGCCCAAAAGTTCCCTAATTCATTTGATTTTGGACACATGGGGAGGAGTCCTGAAGTCCTCAGAGAAGTTGCTTTCAATTTATCCCTTGATATCACAAGCTAACCCTACCTCTCTCCCAGTGCTGTAGCTAGTCCTGAACAACCAGTATGTTATGCTTCTGGTGAATTAATGCCTTCTTAATTAACTTCCATCATGCAATTTTTTTCCCAACTTGACCAGAGTGCTTTTTGTGTTGTGTAATGAGACCTGCCCCCAGAACTGTATTTTTCTTACATGTCAAAGCTACCATTAATGTTTACACCCCAGAGACATGATATCAGCAAAAGATGATCTGTCACTGTCACCCATCTCTCCTTATCTTTCTTCAGGGGAAGCAGATTTTCCCTTCCAAAATGACTTTCCGAGCTCTGGTTTTGTGTCTGGCTTGTGCTGGGCTTGGAAAGGCAAATGGTAAGTTGAATTTTCTGAAATCTCACTGAAAAGAGTTGGGGAACTGGTTTCAGATTCCTGAGGCTTCAACAGTCAGAATAAGAGACAAAAACAGGTGAAATACAACTTGCTAGTCCTGTGTGATATACATTAGATAGCTGAGGCATAGACATGGAGCTGGCAGATGTGACACAAGAACTCCTGGAGCAGCATCTGGAGATGGGAGGGACATGTAGCATCCCATATCTACAGTGGCACTGGACACCGTTGTTCACCTGAGTTCACAGCTTACCATAGCGGATCCTCCTCTCAGGAGCAAATCTTTCTTTTTCTTTCCCTGCCTCTTAAATGCACTGCAAACTCTGAAACTACCTAGTCTAGAAATTCTCTTTAGCCCGTTTCTCAGTTCTCTGAGAATGGTTTGGTGTGCACTTCCCTTGTGCATTCAATCTTCCTCTAGCTTTTGGGAAATAAAGATTAAGTCGTTGCTGAGAATGGGCAGCCCTGAGCTGATTTAATAAAACTGAAGTGGCAAGTCTGCGGGGATGGGTAGAGAAACAGGGTATGTCTTTTTCTTTTAAACAGTTTAGAAGAAAGCCAGAGCATCACCTAATGTAAATCAACATAACTTCATTGATTTCTAGGAGGATGCAGGAGGAGGACTTTTTGGTGGGGGAAAACCATAGAAACAATATGTAATTGATGGAATTGTTGTGTTTTGTTTGTAATCCAGGCTTTAGAATCAGCATTAGGCTTCTGAATATGTGTGATACCCGCCCATTTCACTAACTGTTTCATGTTATTGCAGTGGTTCCGCAGGATAAACACAGAAACGTGAAAGTGGGCGACAGTGTGACTCTCGGCTGTGTCCTGACAGACCCCAAGGAAGTTCTGCAAGTGACGTGGCAAAAGGACTCTGAAAAATCAGACAATAATATAGCTACGTACAGTAATGTAAAAGGATTAAAGGTTCACGAGCCCTATCAAGGCCGAATGAATTTCACAAGTCTGGTACTCAACGAGACAAGCATCGCTTTTTGGGACACTAGAATGGATGATTCGGGGTGTTACACGTGTATCTTCAATACTTACCCTTCTGGCTCCTTCTCAGGACGTACCTGCCTGAGTGTTTTTGGTAAGGCTCTCTGCAGGGATATGTCTCTAGTGGAAAAAGAGGTGTTTTCTCACCCACAGCATTTCCTTGAGTGGATTCAGGAACTGCAGTGGTGAGAGCATCCCTCGGTGGAACGTGGTGTAGAAACAGTGTGTTACTGCTGTGAGCAAGACTCTGTGGGGTCATATGCAAGCCTGTTGTGGTGGTTTTGGCTCCGGCCTGTCCTTGTTTGTTATTCTGTGAGTGGCAGCTAAAAAGCAAGGAGTGGGATCTTTGTGTGTAAGCCCCCGAGCAGTTCCAGCTGGAACCTGGGCAAACCAACATTGCCTGTTGCAGTTTCCTCTTGGTGCCAAGTCCAGCCCCAGTGCTGTGCCAAACTCTTTCATTGACAGGGAATTAGCAGGTAGGAGAACAGCACAGACCTAGAAATGGTTTTACTTTAACAGATTATTTTAAAAGCTGGGATTTCAGGTTGAGTGAAACCTTTGGGGTTTATAACTTCAGTATAAAGGAAGGAGTATTGAATCATGGGGGGGACCTGACCCAATGAACTCTTCTTGCATTCCTGTGCTGTGAGGCTCAGTGCAAATCCAGTAAGCTTTGCTCTGATTGATAATGGTTAAACTGCTATTACTGCTTATGACCAGGTGCTCACTGTGATGATGGCTTGTCTCATTTGTGTGTTGGAAGGTCTCAATGCATCTGTCCATTACAACATTTCCGAAGGCCATTTGATAGCCATCTGTAATGCTGTTGGCCTCCCAGAGCCCACCGTCACCTGGAACAACTTGTTCAATTCTACTCCTACACAGGAGACGGTCAGGCACACCAGTGGGATGGTGTCCGTCACCAGTAAACTGGAGATCTACAACACTCAGAGCATTGGTGCGCAGGACTTGACCTGCAGAGTAAGCAACACGAATGAAAAAATGGAATTGCCTGTGAAAATGAATGAAGGTAGGTGAATGATAAAAGCTACTTGGTAGTGTTCTCTTGGTCTCTGTGTTTTGCGATAGCATGTTTGGGTAGGAATCTCCTGGGAAGACGAGGGAGTGAAATGTATATGTGCCAAGTAAGAAGAAGGGAAATCCTACTTTGTGTTCGTTGCCGTCTTTGAGACAATAACATATTGGTGTCCTCTTCAAGAAGGGGAAAAAAACCCCAACTAGTCAACTAGGAAGCTATGAGGTTTAGAGGCACCATGTGTTTTGCAGCAAGTTGAACTTCAGTTTTCATGCAGGCCTTCATAGTTTCTTTGACGGTGCATAGATAGATATAAATATTTGTCACCTGATATCTATCTAGATGAAGTAGAAACTCCGTGGGTCACTTAATGAACACTGAAGTGGAAGTTTTGAAATTAATAACAAACTATCTCTGAACAACAATTAACCAAACGTTTCAATTAAACTTACTACATGTTTTGGTACAGTTAACCTGTGTGTTAATGTTTTAGTTTCTCTGATGTTTTTGCTAAGACACACGTGCATTGCAGTAATGGTTAGGGAGGAATAGTATTTTCAGGCGGACAGGAAGGTGATCAGTTGAAGGTACTTACATTGGTTTTATGGGGAAATCTTAACTACCTCAATGTAACATCTGAATAACTTGTAGTGCTAATTTATTCCTTCTTCCAACACTCTGTTCCGCTGGAAAGACTTTCACCCTAGTTCTGTAGATGAGAAATAGAAACATTAAAAACTGGAGTACCATTTTCAGTTCACACAGGAATGTTGACTTAGGTGATTTAAAATTCATGTGTCTCCAAATCGAGAGCCTTAAAAGGAAGACCACTTGGAAATTAGGAAGACAGGAAAAGCAGTTTGGGATTCCCAAATGATGTGCTCAGGAAGTGATTGTTATAGGAATAGTAGTAAAGAGTAAGATCTGACTTTTAATATCTTCTCTCTAAAAGTTCAAAAGCAAATTAGTTCTTCATTCTGAGTGACACTAATTGAAAAAGCATAATAAACATTTTTGTCCTGTCTCAAATGCCATATTCTTTTGTTGTGGCCTTTTAAAAAGGAAATGTGTATCTCAGAAAGCAGGAAACTAAGACTGTTGTTATTCCTTGCTAGGAAAATGAAAAACAAGCAAATAGCTTGTTACTTTAACAATCTTGTATTTTAGAGAAAGAGACATTCAAATTAATGGTTCAACCTAGCATTGTTAAAAGACATGGTAGTTTTGGCTTGATTCAAATGAATTTTAATTCAGTAAGTTTTACAGCTAACATCAGTGAATGTTGAAATGAGCCTTTATATTATCATTTTGATTAATGGCAGTCAAATGAAGTGGCTAGGGAGGGACATTTACACTCAGATGTTGGGTAGAGCTACTTGCAGGCATCAAAACATACCCTGTCTTCTTTTCTGAAAGTTAATTTAGCCTTTGCGACAGTGTCCAGTGTTTAACAGTAAAAGGAATAACTTTTATTTTACAAAGAAAAACCTCAAATTCTGGATGAACCTAAAAACTCTTCAGCAAGTGTCAAGACTTGTATAGTATGAAGTTCTGCTTATGTACACATGCCAACTACTGGATCAGGTATGGGGATGACAGTTTTCTTTGATGTGGATGAACATGAGCACATCTTTTCTTCACAAAGCATTTACTGTGGGCAAACAAGTTCATCTTTGAAGATACACATGTTCACTCTCTTTCGAGTGATTGCTGCTTTCATATAGCTTAGCAATAACTTTCACAATCTTGATGAGGAACCATTGACATTAACCGGACATCTTGGTTCTTTTTGCTCTTTTTCCTATATAAACTTAGTTTGGTGTATTTTTTTGTTCTTTTGTTTTCACAGAAGAGCGATCCTTGTTGCCTTGGCTGATCGTTATGGGGGTTTTAGCTGTCATCATAGTTCTGTTTCTGATCACGCTGTCCCTCAGGAAGAGGATATGCAGGAGAGGCTGAAGCGGTGAGTCACTGATGTGTGGAAACCAACGGTTTTCGTAGAGCCCATAATAAGGTCTGGTCATCTGCAGAGAAGAATGAGACTTTGTTAAGATACCGCTAGGTGATATGAAACTGTCATATTGGAGAAGTAAACTTTATAATAATGTATTGACAGTTATTAGAGGTTGCCTCACTTGCATGTAATTTTAAGAGCTGTTTTCCCACTGCTATTGCTGGGGGACAATACAAGACTACAAATTGTGAAGGGTCCAAGCAGAGCAGGACATGCTGCTCGTGGTTTACTTTCAGGCAGAAATCTCAGCAGAAGTAATTTGCTGGTCTTTCACATTTTTGTGGAGGGCCACAAAAGCGTTGAGTGTAAGTGTGCTCAGAGAATTTTTGGCAGAAGAGATGTGTTGGAGAGAAATCCGTTCATGCAGTGACGTGCCCTCAAGGGAAGGGCTTTCTTCTGGTCACAGCACCCTCTTTGTATTTTTAAGACAGTGTAATATGATGGAGAAGTGCGCTTAAGCTTGGCATATGAGTCTATTTCCTAACGATGAATTGAGGAGAAATTGCAGTCAGTGTAATGTCCTTGTATCTGTAGTGACCCGATCATGGATCAACTCAATTTTCTAGTCTTAATTACTAATAACAGAATGAAAGGAAAAAATGAGGGGAAGCCTTAGGCTTCCGAAATTTGATGGTCATTGATAGTTTCACTCCTCCTTAACCAGATCAAAATGCTGTGTCTGGCTTTAAATTCTACTAATACGTTTAGAAACGCCAGCACACATTAACTCAGTTCCTGAATATTTAGATACTTGCTTCAGGATGATAATGTGATACAAGGTAAAGAAGTATTTCCAGGAGTATCAGACCTATCTATTGTGAACTTAGACCTACAGCATCTACTGTTAAGAGGGGTTGATCTACTAAATCTGCTACTGCCAGAGAGACAAAAGTCTTTACAGGGAGGAAAGAGAAATGAATGCTTCTTACGCCCCAAATATAACTTCTTGGTTGTAAAACGTATGTGAGCTTTCCATTGCTCCTATAAACAATTCAGAAGAGAAAATTTCTGTTGAGTTTTCAGGCCAACCTGGAAATTAAAGGGCAAGGAGTTGGTTCTTAATTTATTTTTTTAAAGGATCAGGAGAAAAAGTTGAAATGCTCAAAAGAAAGATGTATCTTTATTCTAGAACAACCATTCCAAACACAGATGAGCTTGTACTAAACAGACCTTGAAGGAGAGACCTTGAGGCAGAGGTGACCTGACAAAGGTCTGAGGTCACCCACTAGAGCAGGTCAAAGAGCACTAAAAAGTGCAGGTGCTGCCTTGCAGAGTTTCAAAGCCCTTTTGTTGCGTGCCAGATGAGGAGAACCACACTGTGATGCTGTGACTGCACTGGTGCCTGAAGCAGGATTAGGGTCAGTCAGTGAAGTGTCGCTTGACAAGACTAGGTTGTTCATGTTTAGACTAGGCTGAGGATGTTAACATACCTCCTGGTGTGATTCTGGCCCTTGGATATTAGCGGTTCCCCAGGCAATGCCTGTGTATGGTTCCGGCGATAGCCTGTGACAGGACCATCCCCAGCAGGCAGCACGGTTAACTCCACAGCAGGTTCCTATGCCCTACGCCACCCACTAGCTATCAGGCTTGCAACCCTGAAGCCATTTCACGCATCCTTGTGCCATGTCGCAGGTCATGCAAGACACGGTTTCTTGCTGTGGAGACACCGCTGGGATGCACAAGAACAAAGCCCACATGTTATTTTGGAAAATTTGAACAAAACCGCCTCCCTGTGCCTTGTAAGGAAAACATAAGACACAAAAGCGTAACATGTTTAAACTGAAAGCGCTGTGCCCTTTCTTCCTTAGCTAATGGCTTGGAACTTGAAGCCCCCCTGTGTCAGCAAGAGAAGTGGGATCTCATGCCCCACTGCCTGGGAGGGTGTCTGGATTCCTGGCCCCACACATGTGCCAGCATGTTACAGGGTCGAGACTTCATGTTCACTGGGGCAGAGGGGGTAAAGTAGATGAGCAGTGTTTAGCAGTGGGTGTATGTTTGTTGTATTAGAGTTTATGAACAAAAGCAGGATGTGAGGAACTTCAGTTGCTTGTGTTCCTTCCCATTTATCATGGGTTTTGATGAACTGTGGTGCCAGGATGTGACTTCTGCAGTGGGCTTGTAAGCCGTTCAGTCTCTACTCTTTTAACGTAGTCTAGTTTTTATCAGTCTTAGTCTGTATCTTTTCAGTTGCTTTTTGGTCTTGACTTTTGAAAATGTAATGGGCTGACCTGGATCCTTTTTGCATAAAGGCAGCATTACTTTATCCGGAGTAATTTTGACCAGCTGATCCTATTCCTTCATACAGTGACTAGAAGGCCTTATTGATTAGTTTGTTGTAAAACGCCGATACTGGTGCAGTTTGATCACTCTGTACCATCTGGTTTTTTTGTTTTGTTTTCCTGGATGCCCTTTTCTGCCTGTTGCTAAAAGTTACAGTTTATCTTGTACATGATTTCACTGTCACTTTCCTGGTCAAATCATTAGAATGCCAAGAATACTTATGGAGCTACAGTAACTTTTAACACTATGTTTAGAGTGCATTAGCACTCCACATTGTAATGAGGAAGTCCCCTACACCTCCTTAGCTCCCATCTGAGGAGCACACTATGGACCCTAGTCTGTTTTTGTGGTGACTTGTTTTTCCCTCGGTCATCTGTGAAATCTGTTTATGCTCTTTAAAGCATTGGTTGCAGTTGATTCACCCAACAGGGAGTAACATCTTGCAGAAAGTCCTTTTATGGTTTTATCCTCTGTTATCCTCAGGGTTGTGTTGGAACAAGGAGCAGCACCTACGCACATATGTCTGGATACACTTTTTGTATCAGCACAATAGAGAGCTAATAGTGCTGGCTGGAGGACAGCAGCGTCTGTTTGAGGCCACTGTCTGGGGCTTCAATACTTCTTTCATTCTGGACTAAATAACAAGCAAAAGCCTTTCCAGTTTTGTCAAGATGCCTGGTTTTTCAAGTAAAACAACAGCTTTTTATCTGGGTGGCTGGGGAGCCTTCTCCATCAAAGTTTCTTGTCTTCTACTATTGAGAGTATTGAGGTTTGCTTTGCTTTGCTCTTGTTTTTGTTGTTTTCCTCCTCTCCGTGGTAAATGCTTGGGAATCGAGTGAAGAGCTGGGGCTCAAAGTTGATGTCCCATGTCTCAGGCATTTGCCTTGTGTACCAGTTACAGAGCATTCATACATTTTGACTCTCCGTGAAAACATCCCAAGTGAAGCATCTTCACAACATTTGGCAAAAAGTCACTTGTTTGGAAATGAACTGAGTAGCCTTTGTGGGGAGAGCTGATGCACAAGCTTTGGAAAACTCACATCTTCATCATCTGCCAAGCAGAGAGGCAAACCTAGCCGTGCCTATCTTTTTAAGCGTGTTGAGCAAGCTGCAATGAATCGCGAGACGTAACTTCACCCATGCTGGAGGTTTTGCAGTGCTATTCTTCTGGTAAGAAGTGACACTGTTTCCTACCTGGCTCAACTAATAGAGCTTAACTATAGACGACACCAACGTAAAGCAGTCCAGTTAACAAGCCAAGTGCCTGGATTGAAGCAAAATAAAGGCTGTTAGTCTGAATAAATTCCTGTGACTTACCTAACACATGCATGTCTCAACTGGAATGCTTTCTGCAGCATCAGTTGTTTACTTCAAGGCTTGCAGGATACTCGTATTTCAGCCTGGCCAGTTAAAAAGCTTTATAGTCAGTTCTCAGGCCTAGCAGTCTTTAGGGGGATTAAATTCCATGCAAACAGTTTTCTGGAGGCTTGTGGTGCTCTGTGAGGAAGGAGTGTTTCACAAATGGATATAAAGGCCAGACAGAGTGATGATATTTATTTTTTTTTTTTTTTTGATTAAAGCATTGGTATGTTGAACTTTCTCGCGTAGCTTATGCATGTTTTGCCATGCGGAAAGCTTTAGAAATGGTCAAATAGCGTATTTGCCTTTAAAAAGCTAAAACAACAGGACAAAAAAATTCTTGGAGCTTGTTATTGAATAGATGTGATGTGACCTAAGAAAGCTGAACAGATTAGGTGAACCTGGAAGAAGAAAACTTGAAGAGTCATAGAAGAAGAGACTACATCAGATCAAAAAAATCCGTTCCACAGAAAGCACCAACATAGCGATGTTCTTTTCCTGTTTGGAAAGTGAAACATTCAGGTTTTTCTTCAAGTGGAAATTTTATGAAACTTACATTAAGCAGCGTTAAAGTCTTTGTTTCAAGATGTTTGTATCTGAATACAGCCAACTAACTATTTCAAAGACATTGCTGTACCTCGAATGTTACACAAGTGCTATAAAACAGATTGAAAATGCCTCTTTGTAACCAGCTAGAGATCACTTAATACCCCGAATAGGAGTTTAAGATGCCCTGATTATTATTTTTTGAAGTTTGGACTACAAATAATATAGATTCAGGTTTGCTAAGCTGCAAATAGCAGCTTGACTGATCAGCTATAACGCATAGGTATCAGAAACCTAAATTTTTGTTAACCAAATATGTCCTGAAAGATTGGGAAATATGGAAGTTTGTGCGGGAGATTCCAGTTATTTGGGAAGCTGTACAAGAACAGGTACTTGCACATAGCTCCCATTGCTTTGTTTATGGTAAAGATAGGAATTATTTCTGGAAGAGCCATTATAGCAGTAACCTCTAGTGTTTATTCAGTTTGGGGAAGGCTGTGTTTCTAAACTTTGGCTTAAAAATTATGACAATTCTTATTTTATCTGTATGACTTGGTATGTTTCTTCAGTGGATTTGCTTTGACATACAGCTGGTTTTCTTAATAGTGAGAGAGTAGGTACTTGAGACCAACACAGTAGCGGCTCGGATTTAGGAGACTTTTCAGAATAATTTCTCCTGAAGTGACAGCTAAATACCAGCCTTTCAGATTATAAACTCAGGACATAACTCCCTCTTTCATGAGGGATCGCCTTGGTTTCC